CTGCACCAGTAGGCCAAGGGACGCAGAAAACCCCATGGGCAGCCCAAGGGAGTGAACTGCTCGGTATGCAACTGCAAGTGAGGAAGGCAATGAAATGCCATGGTTGACAAGGAGTGGTACAGAGACTAACACAGAAACAGCTGTAGTCATATCTACAGCAACAGCGCAGGCTGAACTCAGCATGGGCTGCACCCCAGGAAGAATTGGAGATGGCACAGACTGGCACTGGGAAGACACTGACCCCCAAAAACTCATCTGAACTCATATGGAGAGAGGGAGATGATGTAAGCATGTGCACAGTGCTTTGGGCACAGGGAGAAGCAAAGTGTTCTCAAGTTCATAGAACAGGAAAAGGGACGTGTTAAAACTACAGGGGTAGAATACAAATTAATTCAAAAACAGCAAAAAAAAACTTTTTCAGTGATGTCATCAAGAAGCAAAAAACTGCAAAGTCAGAAGATAGCTTGGCCATCTCTCTGGGTAACAAGTTGTATTTATGACAAAGAAAATTAAGAGAAGTTAAACTCATTTTTCAGAACAAGATATTCTCCAGCCATGAAAGCTTTGGAACAAGTATTATAGGTTATGTGCTGGTGATCTGCTGAGGGGTTTCTTACCATCTCATCTGAAGTACTTAGTATGGGACACTGTTCAAGACAGGCCACTATAACAGATCATCTAAAGCTGACACCAGTAAGGCCACTTCATCATCCTTCTGTCTTTGAAGATCTCCGGAAAGTGCTACTACCCCCTCTGCTTCCTCTGAACTACCTGACATGCTTATCCAAACCAAAAATCCTGAGGCCATCTTATAAGGCAAGTTTTTGAGGAGCTAATCTGACCACTGAAGAAGCATGCCAAGACAGACATCTAAATAGCAAATGCAGAGTACAGGCCATAAAGAACAAGGCAGAAAAGAATTAAAACACCCAATCTGCTCTGTAAATCTTAAGCTGCAATCTTCAACTTCAAACCCTGTTTTCCAAGAAATACAGAGCAAAAGGGTTCCAAAAGAGATAGCAGAAAAAAGGGAGAAAGGTCTAGAAATCATCTGTAAGCAAACACTGAGTTGTCTTTTAGTAGGATACGTGATAGAGAAAAGGGTGATGCATGGCTTCTACTTTCTTTTGCATTTAACTCAAAAAGAGGGCATAATTCCATGAAAACAAAGAGCAGCACATTTGAAACTGAAGGCAGGGAACACTTTATTCTAGTGGGAAGAGCTGGCAGGGGAACCTCACTCTGCAGGGCCACAGTATCACAACTGTTAAACGAAGGATTGGATATTTGTAAGGAACAGAACATCCACAGCTACAGGCTGCCTGCAAAAACGTGTTACAAGCAATATTACTTGAGGGAGTAAGATGATGATGGGGCTTCGAAAAGCAGCTACTGTAGAGGCAGAATCCCTAAAAAGTAGCAAAACGGTAAAGGTAATTTAACAAACAAAAATGCTGATGCTCAGCTCCACCTCTGTGCCACTAACGTGCCTTGTGGGGCCTCTGAAGGAAACTAAAACCTATCAACAGTGGTGTGAAGCAAGGTGCTTTGTTTCAGGTCAAGCTTGGGTATGTCTGAAGCAAGGCAGAGGCTCACAGGGGCATTCATGCTTCCAAGAGGGAGGAAACCCAGGTCTGGGAGAACTGCTGGATACAACGAACTCTGCCGAACATCTGCTCTCCAAGATGTCACACTGAGTTTAAAACTACAGCCTGACTACCTAAACAAAGGTAAAAGGGAAGGAAAATCCAGCACTTAGTCTTCCTTTACCCATCAAAGCAGTGTATTCTGAATTATGAAACTATGTCACTCTAATAACACTGCTGAACAGCTGAAAGTCAAGCAGTTGTACTAGTAGTAAGAGAGCTCTGGGGACGTGCTTTGAAATTTCTGAGGGACTGTGAGGTACCCACAGGGTTTCTATCAATGCCCAACTCACCACCCCCTGAAAGCAGAATGCGATGCATGGGTGCCCCAGGGCGGCCCTGCTTGGGGCCGAGCTGCCGGAAGGCTCTGCCGCTTTGAAGATGAGAGAGAGGGGCAAAGATGGGAGGCGTGTTCTCCCATCCTAACCCTACCGGCTCGCCTGCTTCCTGGACAAGGGAGAGCCCACAGCCTTGGGAGAACTGGTGATCCCCTTCGGTACATTAACTCATGGCTGGCCACTAGGGGCCACTTGCCCCTTACTCCGTGACACCTCGGCAAGAAGGCTGGATGGACACCTGCTCGGGTCCTGCCTGGCTTTTGTATTACCCACAACAGACAGAGTTCAGAGAAGAGCGACTAGAAATTGCCAGTGGGCCAGAGGGATTGGTTTATAAAGGAAGGTTAGGAGCTAATTTTGTCTAGCACAATATGGGATGACTAAGATGGGGAGGGGACAAACCATCAGTCTGGAAAAATCTCAAGGGTGTAAAACACAACTAAAAATTTAATTTTTTTTTTGTCAGACAGCCCTTCACAAAGAGACTTAGAAATGGATTAAAATTTAAAATAGAAACAAAACGACTATCAGGGAGAATTCTGCTAATAAGCATCATGCTGAAGTGCCCAGCCTGCTGGCAACCCTGCCTGGGCTGCCAGAAGAAGAACACAAGACAAAACGGGAAATTAAAAAAAAAAGCCACAAAAGAAAAGCAAATGAATGATACCTTCATCCTACTGTATCTCCTGGTTATTGGGAGTATGTGATTCAGCATTCCCGCTAGAAGTAATTTTCAGTAATAGAAGCGTCATGCCAGCAGGCCAGATTCGAAGGGAAGCCAGAAAAATCCACAGCCTGCCAGCCTGTGCTCACTCACCTATCCCTGCCCTCTCTGCATGCACATCAGTAAACAGAACTGGCTCACCTAAACCACCTTTCCTTGTACCAACCACCATACTGGCCATTAGGCTCAACAAACGCTGAAGGAAAGCGAGCAGGCACGTCCCTGCAATGCTGGCAGCTATGCCTTCTCCCACATGTTGCCCAAAGGGACTCCAGCAGGGTTTCTCCTGACCCCCAAAGGCTGCTTCACAGTGCCAGGGCATGAGCTTCCCTGTTTTGCTGAGAAAAACGCATCTGGCACGTCTTTGAGGGGCAGAGGCGAGCGGATCACACTGCCCCTTTGCAATAAGGATGAGCAGGTAATGCAGCACCCTGCTACATGGGCAAGGGGCTGCATGGAGACAGCCATCAGGCCCTGCATCTGTCTCCTCAGCTCTTCCCTAATCCCCTGGCCATCAGGCTGAGAATAATTTAGCTGCGGAGCGTCTAGACTATGAATGGGTGTTAAAATAGGGATAAAGCCACAGGGACAAAGCTAGTTTGAGGATAGAGGAGGAGAAGGAACTCTGATAGACACAGATGAGAAGAGCTCGGAAAGGAGAGGGATTAAAGGCCTGGGAAGATTTTCCTGGGAAGACACACTGATGAGCCTGTCCATGGAGGAGAGGAGCAGGAGGGGTGCTGCTGTGTACACCGGAGCATTTGGATGCTGCTGTGACAGTCACAGCCTCAAAGCCAAATGAAACGGAATGGACTGCGCAGCCCCTACCTTTCCCCGACATGGCAGAGGGACTGACACACACACCAGAACAAAAAGACAACAGGTAAGACAACAAACAGACAAAGTTTTCAGGCACGAAGGGTTTAACCTGTGGATCTCTCTGCCACATGCCTACGCTGAAATTTTTAGTATTCCACAAGTATTTCAGACAGCTTAAATTATTTCAATGAATCCTATACTCTACTGGACTACCTGGGATGATCCATCACAGCCATTCACCCCCGAGGCACTGTCTGTTCCGTGACTCTCCCTCACAGACCCTTCGCAGAGGTACCAGACGGCTCGGAGCCCGCACGGCCCACAGACACACACAAACACGGGCAACAAAACCCACTCCAGAGCGAAGCGCCAACATCAGACATCAACAAGGTAACAAGTCCTCCACCGGACGGACGCACAGACGGCTCCGACAGACACGCGTACAGCCAGAAGAGGGAAGGGACACGGGCAGGCACCGGGGTCACTGCACCATGCACCGTGCCGTGCCATGCCACCCGCGCAGTGCGGTGCGCGGGACTGCTCCGCGCCGCATCCAGCTCCGG